GTTTAAGGTGCTGGTTTTAACCTTTAAAGCCCTATACGGCCTAGGACCCTCGTACCTACGGGACCGCCTCTCCTGGTATGCCCCACAGAGGAACCTACGGTCTGCAAATAAAAACATCCTGAAGGTCCCAGGCCTCAGAGAGGTTAGGCTGGCCTCAACTAGAGCCAGGGCTTTCTCGGCTGCGGCTCCAATCTGGTGGAACGCTCTGTCACAAGAGACTAGGGCCCTGCGGGACCTGACATCTTTCCGCAAGGCCTGCAAGACAGAGTTGTTCCACCAGGCCTTTGGTCAGGGCCCAGCCTGACTCCCACCTCCGGCAACCTACACAGAACTTTGCTCAACGGTTGCCATTAATTTGATTTTAATTAATTTTTATAATGAAATGTTTTAGAATGTTGGACTATTTAATTGTTTGATTATTTATTTGTTGTTAGCCGCCCTGAGCCTGGCTTTGGCTGGGGAGGGCGGGATATAAATAAAATTTATTATTATTATTATTATTATTATTAATTATAAAAACTCTCAGAAGTCGCTGGAGAGTAAATTCAAAACGTGGTTCAAAAGTTAGCTAGAACAATCCCTTGTAATACCTGATAGACAGCTTTTATGGTGATTTTTGTCCAAAATATACTCTAAATCCAAGATCCATGTGTCAGAGAGCAATTAAGGCTTGCATAAAACTTTGAAGATGAAAAGTGCTAAACATAGTAAGAATTAAGTACTGTTAATTACCATTCTGCCATTCCACCTAATATCTTTATTCTGTGATATTTAATTGGCTCTACTGGAATTAGCACGTTTTGTAAAGCATTGAACTCAAACCATCCTTTAGAAGGACAGTTCACTTCAGTAAGGAGAGCACTTTTTATCCCATTCTTGCATATTTCTTATTTGAATTTGGTTGTGCTCAATGCTTATGTCCTCAGAAAAGAAATGTTTTTTTTTTTAAATAATTTTTTATTAAGGTTTTAAACAAAGAAAAAGGAAAAACAACACACACAAAAAAAACAATAGAAAATTTAACAATAAAAGCACAAAACATAACAATTAAAAACAAACTCTCTTTTCCATTCCCAATTTTAAATTACTTATTTTCTGGACTTCCTCATACCTCCCTCTTTTGTATTCCAATCTGCATTATTTGTCCAGCAGTTTCTTTTCCACTTTTTTAAACCCAATCCTTAATTTAATAAAATATTAAAATATATAGCTTCAACTTTTTTAGACATAATCCTTGTTCTTAATGTCATATACCTTTAAATTTTTCCCTTTTATTATCAAATTTCCATTTCTTTAAACATCTTTAATCTTGATCTTTAATCTTAATCTATCCTTAACTTTAACCTGTACAGCTGGAAACCACTTCTTTTCAATCCAACATCACTCTAACATTCCTTAATTTTGCAGTGTTTCTGAAGATAGTCTTTAAATTTCTTCCAGTCTTCCTCCATCGACTCTTCTCCCTGGTCACGGATTCTGCCAGTCATTTCCGCCAGTTCCATATAGTCCATAAGTTTCATCTGCCATTCCTCCAGCGTGGGAAGTTCTTGTGTCTTCCAGTACTTTGCGATGAGTATTCTTGCTGCTGTTGTTGCATACATAAAGAAAGTTCTATCCTTTTTTAACACCATTTGGCCCACTATGCCCAGGAGAAAGGCCTCTGGTTTCTTGGGGAAGGTATACTTAAATACCTTTTTTAATTCATTATATATCATTTCCCAGAAAGCCTTAATCTTTGGGCACGTCCACCAAAGGTGAAAAAATGTACCTTCAGTCTCTTTACATTTCCAACATTTGTTATCGGGCAAGTGATAAATTTTCGCAAGCTTGACTGGGGTTATGTACCACCTGTATATCATTTTCATAATGTTCTCTCTTAAGGCATTACATGCCGTAAATTTCATACCAGTGGTCCATAACTGTTCCCAGTCAGCAAACATAATGTTATGTCCTACGTCCTGTGCCCATTTAATCATAGCCGATTTTACCGTTTCATCTTGAGTATTCCATTTCAGCAGCAAGTTATACATTCTTGACAGATTCTTAGTATTGGGTTCTAACAATTCTGTTTCTAATTTTGATTTTTCCACCTGGAAGCCAATTTTCCTGTCTAATTTAAATGCCTCCATTATTTGATAATAATGAAGCCAGTCTCGCACTTTGTTTTTAGTTTTTCAAAACTCTGCAATTTCAGTCTATCTCCGTCTTGTTCCAAAATTTCCCAATATTTCGGCCATTTGACCTCCATATTGACCCTTTTCAAGGCTTTCGCTTCCATTGGTGACAGCCACCTTGGGGTTTTATTTTCTAGCAGAAAAGAAATGTTAGGGCTCAGCTATGTGTGGGAACAAGGGACGCGGGTGGCACTATGGGTTAAACCACTGAGCCTAGGACTTGCTGATCAGAAGGTCGGCGGTTCGAATCCCCAGGATGGGGTGAGCTCCCGTTGCTCGGTCCCTGCTCCTGCCAACCTAGCAGTTCGAAAGCACCTCAAAGTGCAAGTAGATAAATAGGTGGGAAGGTAAATGGGAAGGTAAACGGCGTTTCCGTGTGCTGCTCTGGTTCGCCAGAAGCGGCTTAGTCATGCTGGCCCCATGATCTGGAAGCTGTACGCCGGCTCCCTCGGCCAGTAAAGCGAGATGAGCGCCACAACCCCAGAGTCGGTCACGACTGGACCTAATGGTCAGGGGTCCCTTTACCTTTTTTTATGTGTGGGAACACCGCCCTCTGATCTGGGAACCTCTTCCTGCTAATCCCCGTGTGCTGCTACTCAGTAGTGAGTGAAATGTACTCTGTACCTCAAAGGTGGGGACCTTTTTTTCAGTCTGAGGGCTGCATTCCCTTATGCGCATCCTTATGTGGGCAGGATGCCAGTGAAAGGGAGGGTCAGGCAAAAAGTGGATGGAGCAGCAGGTGTGACTCTTGCTCTGTACACTCCAGCTACACAAAATTCAGACACATCATCATCAAATTTATTACCTGCCCTTTAGCAGTGGAACCAAGGGCAGGTTACAACAATTTAAAGTTTAAAACAAACATTTAAAACAGATTATAATAACAGGAATAGGTGAGACCCGAAAGCACATCTCATGTGTCAAAGAACAGGGGTATAGATGTGAGTCTTCAGCATCTGCCAAAAGCTGTATAGTGTATAACCAGGTGCTCCTCTAGGGAAGGGAATTCCACAACTTTGGGGCTGCTCTCCTGGGCCACCTCCACCCCAAATCTCTGAGAGAGAGACAGAGCTACCAAAAGGGCCCCCTCTGCTGACCTTAACACCCTGAGAGGGTTTGTAGGGAAGGAGACAGTTTTTCAGATGTTTGGAACCTAAGTCATTTAGGACTTTAAAAACTAGCATAAGCATCTTGAATTGGGCCCAGAAAACTCTCACTGCAGGCAAGCAAGGGGCATTATTACAGATCAAAAACATGTTACAGCCAGGCAAAAGCCACTGAGGAGGGCACAGAGCAGGGGCAGTTGTATGAGGAGAAGGTGTTGCCTAGGAAGAGAAAAGATATGGCCCACAAAGAGATGGTTTGGAGGTCCTGAGGTTCCTCATCCCTGCTGTAGCTTCTTGGGAGTACTTTGCTCTGTTTTTGCTCCGTATGTTCTAGGGTTCACCATTGTAATGGAAAATAAAGTAAAACCAGATTATGAGTTATTCTGGATTTCAGATAAAACACTGCTTTGTGCCCTTTGATTTCTAAAATCTGATCATGAATAAATATGCTGCAGTATAATAAATTGAGAATGTATATAATGTAAGGGTTAACTCTTTCCCCCCACCCTACCCCACTGAAATTTCCACAAATAAAATTCTCCCTCCTCAAAAGTAATGTGAGGAGGGGACATAGAAGTACAGTGGTACCTCAGGTTAAGTACTTAATTCATTCCGGAGGTCCGTTCTTAACCTGAAACTGTTCTTAACCTGAAGCACCACTTTAGCTAATGGGGCCTCCTGCTGCTGCCGCGCCACCGGAGTACGATTTCTGTTCTCATCCTGAAGCAAAGTTCTTAACCTGAAGCACTGTTTCTGGGTTAGCGGAGTCTGTAACCTGAAGCGTATGTAACCAGAGGTACCACTGTACCTGTATGACAACTATGTTTACAAGTGTCTCCCAAAGTAGAAGATGTTCATTGCCCTCCAGATGCCTCTGTGAATAATTAACATGTCAGAAATTTATGTTTTTTTCTATCCATAGAGCAAATTGTGTGTGCGTTTGAAGGGGCGTGTTAATCTAGACAATGGCACCTTGGCAGAAAGAGCAATATAAAACTTCAATACTGCTATCCCAATCTAATTCTTCTCCCTCCAGTTGCTATTAATTTATTTTTCAGATGCAGGGTATTATAATCACAAATCTCCTGCATTGTGTCTGTTTTGGCCCTCAAGAAGGTGGATGTGGCATTCCAAGCTAGCCTTATAGACAAAGGCACCACTTTGACCCATCAAGATAATAAAAGTTGGGGAGAGCCACTTTGAAGAATAATAAAGCACAGCTGAGGCACTGACATTTCGTCCATCAGTGAATGTACAAGAAGCATGATTTTAAAATTATTATACTATAATATTAACACCTGCTACTAAGCATTTCCCCATCAAAAGGAATACACATAGAGGTCATGTTAGTCTTCTATCTTTTCCTAAATATGAAATTGTGTAAGTATTACTAAGTGCTATGTTGTGATTAACATTAATTTGTGGAATTATTTTTAGGCCAATACTCTTGTAAATACAAAATTATTTAGGGAAAACCTCTTATGGGGCGGTGCCCCCAAAACAGCACAATGGACACCAAGTGCTGGCTGACCAAGAGGGGAAAATTGTACATTTTAAGGGTAATGGAATGGGGGAAACAATAAAAGAGGAAGGGACACAGGTATTAGAATGATTAAGAGAACCTTTATACCATAAAATTTGTTACAGAATCATAGAATTGTAGAGCTGGAAGGGACCACACGGGTCATTTATTGCAACTCCCTGGAATGCAGGAATCCTAAGCCCAATATGGGGCTCTAACCCGTGACTGAGATTAAGAGTCTCATGCTCTACCAACTGAGCTCTGTTGCAGCTTCATGTACTGGTTGACACTGAGGAGCTGTTTTTTAAATGTCCCTGTGACAGAAGAGAGCTGCCTCTTGAAATCAGTGGAGAAAACTAAGATTTAAATGTAGCTGGGTTTAGGCATTTGTCCCCGTCCCCCATATTTAAAGGAACAAAAACAAAATGTAGACAAACCCAAAACAGCCCAATGAGGACTGTGCAAGCTCAGTGGGCACAGAATGTTGACTCAGTGTTGGAGTAGTGGAGAAAAATGTGGTGGGGGGTTAGGGAATGAATTGGAGTACTGAAACCAAAGAAGTACAGTGCAATGGTACTTCTTTGGTTCCAGCGCTCCAATTCATAACAAAGATTAGGCAAGAATACACACAGAGTTTGCATGTGGCATTTATAAGCAATAACAAAAAAAATTGCTGGCCTCCCATGCTTTTTAAAAAATTGATTTGTTGTCGTTGCTTATAAACGCCACATGCGAACTCTGTGTGTATTCTTGCCTGATCTTTGTTGTTATTCTAACAATACCTCACCATTCTGTGAATTCCTAGATTCATGAGCAGCTAAAATGCACAGGACAACTGCTTTATGCCATAGAGAAAAGAACCTGTCTAAGCAAAGTCGTTACACTGCAGAAGTCTTATTTTGTTGTCTTCAAAGTGGATGGCTTGGAAGGCTTGTTTCGGCACTGCAAAAACAAAACACGTCTGCTTCCCACCATCAGAACAACCCCCAGTCTTTTACTCTAGCTCAGGAAGGAAGATAGGAGGTAGCTAATCTAAGTACACCTTGCAGTTGGAGGGGATGAAGAAAGACAGAGGTTATTGCCAGAGTTTCACTGAGCTCTTCAAAGTGAGCCTAACTCTGGGGACCATGCCTGCTTTTTTCTCCAGCACCAAAGTTGAAGCTGTGGGAGGGAGCATGGGTTTGTCTGTACAAGTTCAATGACCAAACACCCAAGCCTGCAATCTTATATATGCTTACCTAGGAGTAAGTCCTATTGAATACAGTGGGATTTCTCAGTGGCCATGCATTAGTTGCACTGAAGGAGATAGGAATTCATGAAGCCTCACAACCACCTACTGAAGTTAATTATTATTTTTTTCATTGAGTTAGATTGCAACACAGTATTTCAATCAAGTATGACTGGCTTTACTATACTAATAGTAAAATGTTCATATATAATGGTAGAGTAATATAAAACTCCAACACTTCTATCCCAATCTAATTATTCTCCCTCTAAAATATAATGAAAGAGTTAGTACTGTACATCATTTTGGAGTAGCAACTCCATCATGCATAAAAGACCCTATTGATAGAGTGGTAAATGGAGTACCAGCAGTTATGAACAATGTAAGCAATGATTAAATGTATATCTGTAATTTTGCAAAAGGTGCAGATGAGAAAACTTATAAATGGACTCCATCTGCAGAGCAAACTAGGTACTATGGGTAACAGTACCTATGGTTACTTTAAACAGACCAGCTTGATAAACCATGGCTTGAAGATAATTGAATGAAAATTACCCATAGTATAACCACAGTTGGTTGTACTAGACAATACAACAAACCACAGTTAAATGAAAGCAAAAACAAGCTCTTCCAAACTCCTCCTGGCCATGTGGGAGTAGGGGTAAGTTATGCATCCCAGGGACCAGGCTGGGACAGACTACGGAACACCTGAGACTTCAGCTTTTACCACCCACCAGCTGATTTCTGTAGGCATTGGCAGAGTGAGTGAGTTCCCTAGTAGACCTAGCAGACTTTGGCTCTACCACCCATCAGTGAATGCAGCCTAACATATATCACATGATTGTTCCAAGGATAAAAAGGATAGGGAGAGAATCAAATAGCCACCCCTGAGTTTGTTGGGGGAAGGACAGGATAAAAATGTATTAAAATAAATAAGATGCTAAAAAAGGATTAGAACTAGAAATATACCAGTTCTCTGTTTATTGTTAGTTTTTAATACTCACAGAGCCTCTTTTCCATTTGTAGGCTGTTTCCAATTAGACAAACACTGGGAAAGGAGGGGTACATTTCAAGAGGCCCAAATTTGTAGTATGCTTTGTAGCACCATTGTAAAAGCATGCTTCACTGAAGAAGCAAGTGTACCTGACAAGCATTACATTTTCCACCTTTGAAAGATTCAAGCCACGTGACAGTTCATAAATATTGCCATTATCTCTATTGGCCTCCTTAAGTACAACCTATCTGCTTTGAACAGTTCACTACAAGTCCTACAAGTCCCCAGTGCTGATTTGCAGGCACTGCTAATTTGCATACTACAGCAGAAAACAAGCAATTAAAAGATAAAATATGCTGCATCATAAAATTCCTCAGTAAGCTTTACTAGGTTTTAATTATTTTCATATTTCACTAGTAACTGAAATATTAGGTTGAAGATCTTAGTACAGGCCTTTCCTTTTAATTCTTGGTAGATGAATTTCAGCAACTAAATTTGTAGGTCGGAGGCGGATTCTAAATATATTTTCATTACAGTACTTTAATTACAAAAGGGTGGAGAGAAAAAAATATTTACCCATCATACAAATAAAGATACCCCATTAAAATTGGAATTAACAAAATATGTGTTGTAAAATCAGACTAAGAGTTCTGAAGTGGAACCAGTGCCCATGTTGAATCACAGCATGAGACCTCAAGAATCAGTGTAAAGTTGTTTTAAAGTGGTAGCCATCAGGTGGCAGTGTTTTATAAATCACTATCTGAACATTTTATTTTTTTTTTGGTGAAGGGCAGCATCAAAATCTCTAAATAAATAAATAACCAGCAGTTCTCCTAATTAATTTAGTAGATTCTATAAATTAATTAGGCAAGTTATAAAGGTCTGATTCTTCTTCATCATCTGCTCCAGTATAATTGCCAGTCTGTTTCATTGCATGAGTCAAGGTTCTATTGTTTTGCCAGAGGAAAACATAAAAATAATTCCAAGCAAAATCATTATAGCATGCCAAAAGGGAACTGTCTGCTTCTGAAAATCGCTGGCACTGAAAAAACGGCAACAGTAGCATAGTACCGTAAGCATCTGTGTCTTGCCATTTGCTGCCTGCTTGCACAAATATGTATCTCAACTTCAGTGTAAGAAAAATACTGTATTAATGTCAAAGCTGGGCAAAAACAAGTTATGTAGACTTTGTATTGCTGAAGCACTGCATAGGAGCCAACTCCCAGGGACTAAGATCTCTTTGCCCCCCCTTAAAATATTTGAGGGGGCTGGGTCCCCCCCAAAGTTGATGGGCATTGTTTAGGGAAGCTTTTAATGTTTAATAGGTTATTGTATATTGGTGTTCTGCTGGAAGCTGCCCAGAGTGGGCAGGGTATGAATAAATTCTTCTTCTTCTTCTTCTTCTTCTTCTTCTTCTTCTTCTTCTTCTGGCATGCATGCACAGCGTCTTGTGAACGATTTTATGAGGCGGGGCTCATCTGGGCCCTCCAATATTTTATTCAGCTTGGCACCCCTGAAACATTGAGTTTCTCAGCTGCGAAGCAAAGCAGCAAACCAAAGCCCTTTTCTCCAGCTTAGAGCTGCAGGATCTTCCCTGAAGTTGTGTTGCATCCTCTGAAGCTCAGCACAGCTGTAGAGGATGATTCCCACCTGCCCAGCTCTGAGCTGGAGAAGGAGGCTAAGCTCCTTTCATCCCTCCTGCCATAGCAAGAGTGACAAGCAGGGTTGCGCACCGCAACTTGATGTGGTGAGAAAGCATAATTGTAGTGGCCTTGCATAGGGAGCAAACCATAGTGCAAAGGGTCATCTGTCCACATTTGCAGATTTCTATTTGATAGGCACCACTTTCTGCTGGATTGTTTACTTCGGCTTACTGAATGTTCGCTTTGTAGAAAGAAACTGACTGATGACAGGTTTTGAGTAGTGCAGATATGTAATTATGTTTTTGCAGTTTCTTTTTGTAGGCAGTGGTGACATCACCTAAATATATCTATGTACAGTCTGTTATTTGTGCTGCATACTCTAAATGCTAACAGAAACAGTCTACAAAGAGAATGAAATCAAATAACAATTTTATTTAAATGCTGAGATTTTGCTTTAAGTAGGGGAGATGTCAAATATGTAAAAAAATAAAAAATGGGCCCATTGTGGAAATAATAAAATTTATATAACAGAAATGTTTAAGAATGGATTATGAATGTCCTGCCAGTGCACAATGGCTTCAAGTAACGTTTCTTATTTAACTACTTTATGAAACGAGTATGGTAAAATACTGAAACGTATCAGTTTTTAATAAATTAATGAATCATTTTGCAGTGCTTTGTCTAAATTTATGTATTCAGCGAGTCCTTAATGGTCTTTTCCTGCGAGCACTTAGCTCTGACTGTAGTGAGATTCTGATTATATATTGCACCTTTAAGAAGAATGTAATACTTGCAAAACCTAGTAACTTAGAGCAGGCTGAATTTGCCTGAAAAATATATAGTGAAATTAGTATGTGCTGATTTAATGACTTGGGATCCCCTTGATTATGTTTTGAATGTTAATAGTTTGCCTTCTAGATACCAAACTTTATAATCTTCAGCTTTATTATCTTTATTCCCATGTATATAAGCATCTTGCATTTTGAATACAGAGTGTGTGTGTGTGTGTGTGTGTGTGTGTGTGTGTGAAGTGATTCATAAGTCACTTGCTAAAATGCCTGTTTGTCTTCTGAGCCTTATCTGTTTTCTGGTGGTAGTATAAAAGGGCTAAGCTGCATATGGATTTTATTTGATTTTGAGCCTCACAATGGATTCTCTGCTGGAAGTTTTATATTCGTAATGTTGCCGTCCAGCTCAGAGAATTCTTATTAATGCTTCAGCAGGTGCTCTGCTCACAGTCCAGGAAAATAAAGATAGGCTTGGTTTTTGAGGCTTCCTCAGTTTCTAATGACAACGTATTGAATCATTTGCTAGAGTCAAATATCTCAGTTGCCCCATGTTGGCAAGAAAACTCATCTTTGCAGAAAAAAACAATCCTCCTCTTTCTTGTTTTTCTGGGAAGCCCTGGT